AGCTACCCCAAAGTCTCCATTATCCAAGAGCTTCCGTAGGCCTTGTGGACCTCCGTAACCTTTCACACCACAATCTCTCATACAAGCCCCGTAAACCACATGACTTGGGTTCATGTGAGCTTGATAAGTGATTGGCATAGGAAAAATGTATTATCAGTTTGGCATGGCATGTGCACTATTTCTATATTTATTTAATGAATTAAATCAAAAAATAATGCTTAGATTAACGCATGACCAACATCATATGTTATATTGGGCTTTAAATGTATTCGGGCTTCCCGTGACTTTTTGGGCCTCAACATTAGCCCCCTTGATTATTGGGACTATGAAGTGGCAGCGAGATGGGCCAAATAATCAATTTCAGCCAAAAATAATTGGCAGTGACATGGCATGGCTAGTTCTTCAATATGCATGAAATATCCAGGTCTTTTTCAGGAAGGTTGGAGGGGTCGTTATGGTCCCGCTTAAAACCCAATCTTCTTAGACACCAAGGGTGTTGCCGTGAAGAACTTTCCTAGACACTGTAATATCATAGTTTACTTACTGGGATTACCAAAAGTTGGCCAATTTTACGGCATGACATAGGAAATAAGGCTTGGTTGAATTTTAACCCAAAATAAGTTAGCTTGCATGATTGATGTGCTTGAGTGACTAGTGATGCTTGATATGGCATGGTTGTGGTTTGCAAGAGTTGCATTAGTTTCGTATGCTTGATATTGGCTTCCATGCTTGGTTTTGACTTGTATATTTGGTATTGGCATGTATGCTTGATGTTGACATGTATTCTTGGTATTGGCTTAGATGCTTGGCATTAGCGTGTACGCTTAGCATTGGCCTGCATACTTGGTATTGGCTTGTATGCTTGGATGCTTGGTATTGGCTTGTACGCTTGGTATTGGCTAAGGTGACATGGTTTAATATAGCTTTTGGGTTTTTTAACCATGTTGGATGTGCTTGAGTGTTTGGGGTTTGGCATTTATGTAAGGGTTTTTTTGTTCCAGCAGCTACAAATGGCCTGGGCTGCTGTAAAGAGCAAGTGGGTGGAGTTGAATCAAGATATAGTTTGGTTTGGCACGAGGGCTTTGGTAGATTAGAAGATGAAAAAATATAAAGGAAGATGCTTAAGGCTTTGAGCATGATAATGTTTGTGGTAGCTTGAAAGCGGTATAAGTGTTGGCAAATAAGCATTGCAATATGGAGGCCTTAAGTCACTTGGACTAGATCTTAGTTTTGGAGTCCTGCGCTGCCTTCCAGTACTCATATATGGGGCTTCTCTTTCAAATTTGGTGGCATGATGGTTGACTCTTCCGGCAGCATGATCATAGCGATTGTGTTATACAGCCGTGCGGCTATACTATTTTTAAAAAAAATTAAGCAAATTGAGTATCGCCGCATGGCTATACTATTTTTAAAAATGCTTACGGACCTGTCAAAAAAATATGTATAGCCGCGCGGCTATACTATTTTGGAAAAATAAATTTTAACAACCCGGGTATAGCCGCTCGGCTATATTATATCACAGGGCAGCGCTAGGGACCACGTGTCGAAAAAGTAAAGCCAACCGACCATACTGTTTTTTAAGACAAGTATAGCCGCACGGCGATACTATTTTTACAAAAAATGTAAAACCAAGTATAGCCGCACGGCTATAAGATTTTAAAAATTAAAAACGGAGTATAGCCGATCGGCTATACGATTTTTTATTTTGTAGTAATTAGCTTTCTTGTCATTAAAGAGCGAATATATACTTCTGGTTTTGTCTGTATATATCTTGCTATAAAGCTTCCTTATATATAGTTGCTTCTCTTGCCTTTTGTTAGTGAGAAAAGTATTCGTTACTTTGGATATCCCTTCACCTACTATTCGTTACTTTGGCGATGCTGATCCTCCTTGCAAATATTAATTATGCAGGTGATTTGATTTTATCCTTCTTCTTTTTTAAAGAATAATCTACACACATATAGCCACTAGCTAAGATATAATTCATTAGATTCTATATTATTTTACAATAAAAGTTACACTTAGTTTTTTTTTTTCCATATTATTCGCAGCAATGGTCCCTCAACTATACCCGTAATTGCAATTGGGTCACTGAACTCAATTATTAGTTGCAGAGGTCACTCAATTTGTTGTTGTGTTGCACCATTGGTCCTTAATTCCGTCAAACTCTGTTAAATTTTCTATGAAAAGTAAGGGTAAGTTTGGAAATTCATCCATAACCCTCCTTCTCCTCCACAACCCTCCCTCTCCTCCAGAGCTTTCTTGAGTTTTAATAACAATTTCAAGCTTGAAATTTGAGCTTTCGAGCTTAGATTTTTCAATCTTAAATCGTAAAATAAAAATCCCAACCTGTTTCAAATTTGTAATGGAAAAAACAAAAGAAACCCAAAGAGAACCTTTCACTGTTCTCTCTCTCTCTCTCTCTCTCTCTCTCTCTCTCTCACGAAACCCCTTTCCTCTTATATATGTGATACCCAACCAGCAGGCAACTCCTACAACCTGTTGCTCCCCCATTTTTGTGAAAATCTCTTACCCCTTATATACACACACACAATTCCCAAACCTATCTCCATGTCCCTCACTAATACTAATAGTTGTAATATAGGAAGGAAAAGGCGAGCTCTCTCTCTCTCTCTCTCTCTCTCTCTCTCTCTCTCTCTTCCCCCCCCCCCTCCATTTATGAATGTTTATGATTGATGGTTTACAGTGAGTGTAGAAGCAAGGATTGGGTTGCGACAATGGAGAGTTGTGGATGAAAGAGAGTGTTGTGGATGAATTTCCGAATTTACCCTCACTTTTGATAGAAAATTTAACGGAGTTTGACTGAAGGACCAATGGTGCAACACAACAGCCAATTGAGTGACCTTTGCAACTAATAATTAAGTTCAGTGACCCAAATGCAACTACGGATATAGTTGAGGGACCATTGCTGCGAATAATCATAGTCTAAACTACAAAAGAGAGAGGGTTTTTTTTTTTTTTTTTCACACACACTATCAAGATGTTATGAAAGTTCAAACATGAGACTAAATTTGATATGCAAATCAAACCTCTTTTCCACTCGGCTAGACTTTGATGGCAAGTTCTACTTAGTTTATATTGTATTCTTATGATGAATTTATTTGGTTATCTTTGTGGTATGGTAGAAGAAGTGGTGGAATACCAAAAGCTAAGATGTGGGCACAGAAGTCAAACATGGTCTGGGGTTTTTATAAAATTAATAAAGTAAGATTGCAACAAATGAAAAAAGCAGATGCCAAAAAAATGTGTATAAGTGCAAGTTGATCATAATAGTGAGTCCATCGAGTATTTAGACAATATCATTGGTATAAAGAAAAAATGTCAGAAAAGATATTTATAACAAGAAGAAGAAGAAGAAAAAAAAGGAGCAACATACATTTTACCAAGATGGGGCCAAAAGATTGATAAATTACTACTAAGGGGAGGCAAAAAATAAAGAATTACTATTAAAGTGAGGCAGAAATAAATAAATTTAGAGAAAGTAGATTTTTGAGGATTTATCCATAAAGGCCCAAAACCTAACAATGTTATCTAAATATTTCGTTTGATAAACTTGGGGGGCTACAGCCCCAAAAAAAAAAAAATTCTTAGCAGACGAGGCCTATATTAAGCCCACACCCTCACTTAACGTTATTCTTACAGATTCTCATAAACAAATGTTTTTATTTATTTTTAAAATGGAACATCTCACCCACATCCCACTCCCAATTGGGAGAAACATCGTACACCATGCATGATAAATTTTTTATGTGACAGTTTATGATTGGTTAAAAATAGCAACAAAATAGTATTATTCTCGTTTCATACAAATTTTAATACCCAATCAGAAGTGCTTTGAGGTGCCTTGTATGCATAAGATTAAAATACTTGGTGATATCCCGATATATTTGATGACGTATCTTTTTTATCCAGGCATTGAAGTACTTTTAGATTCTTCATCCAAATGTACCATAATATCCTTGATATATAGCCTCAACAAAATGAAAATGCTTAAATTACCCATCTACAACAATATCAAAATATAACGCATAAATATGAATAAGGACATAGTCAACATAGGCAGGTGGTGATGCAAAAGATGGCAGGAAGTCATGAGTCATGCCTCTTTTTTTTTTTTCTTTTTTTTTGGGATAAATATCACGAGATGTCCTCACATTTAAAGGGTGAGATTAATTCCTGCTCGGAATTCGGCTTGCCCATGTCATTCTAATTGGTTTCGAATCTCTGCCAATTAGGCACCAAACAGTCCGCCAACTGGAAATGGCAGTTTGTCAAACACACCACATCTTGTGGTTCATGCATTTTTTTTTTGGATAGCTGGGTCTTGCCCATTTTAATTCCCTTTTTGTTTTTCCTTTTAAAAATTAAATAAAATATTGGGAGACTTTGGAAAAATACAAAGGAAAGAGAAATTTTGTAAAAGAAGCCAAAATGGACAAAATTGCCCTTATTTATTTTTGGATTTCCTAAGAAATCTTTTACATTTGCATGTCTTTGATTTGAAAGTTGAGAGATTTTTCTGTCTTTTTTGAAAAAGTTTTGGCTTTTTCCAAAAGTGAAAGTTTTTTTGGGGCTAAAACTTAAATTTACTTAAAATATTTAAGGGATTTGTGCTAAAATAGCATTTGTTACAACTTTTATTCTACAATAGCTCCTTCTCTATATAGTGTCTCTTTGTTGTCATTATAATTCCCTATTTATGTCAGAATAAAATTTGTGAAAAGGGCTATTTTAGCCAATTTCACAATATTAATAAAGTAATTTCACATAAGAATTAGCTGACGAATGGAGCAAATTTTGGTCACACGCCTACAAAACAAAAGTAACAAAACAGACTTTGGCACAGAGTTTGGTCTTTGCCCAATCAAATTCGGCATTTCACTCACCAGCTGGTAACACAATCATATATAAAGCTTTGAACTTTTTCATAATTTTTTTTTTTTGTTCTTTTGTTAGTTTTTTTTAGTCAGATACTTTGAAGGTAGCCTAGTATTGAAGCTCAATCACTCTCTCTCTCTCTCTCTCCCTCTAGACTCGCAATGGCGGCAGTGGCAGTGAACGGAGCGAAACTCGGTACGGCTTCGCAGGCTTACTTGGAAAGCAGAGCAGTGAGCGACACCAAGGTTCTGATATCAGACCTGTGCCGCCAGTTCTACAATCTTGGATGGGTCTCAGGGACTGGTGGTAGCATCACAATCAAAGTTCACGATAACTCTGTTCCTAAGCCCCAACAACTCGTAGTCATGTCTCCCTCTGGTATTTTTCACTCAATTTTCTACAGCTCCTTTTCTGGGTTTTCCGTTTTTGGTTTCTGGGTATTCATTGTTTTTGCTCCGTTTGTTGTGTGTGTTGCTTGTTTGTGTTTTTGATTTCTGTATAGGTGTTATATTAACTAAAGTTTGTGTTGTGGGTGTTCTTTTTGGTTGTTTACTTTCTGGGCATTTTTAATTTATGCTGAATGTTGAGTCTTTTTGGCTCTTCTGTGTTGTTTTGTCGTATGAGCTCAATATTGCATATGGTTTGGAATGTTATGTAAGCGTTCAAGCACAGGTGGGCTTTTTTATTAACGAAAATTCTGTGTTAGCATACTTTGTTATGTGCTTGTTAATTATTTGTTTTCGGATATGCATCATTCAAGCTTAAAGGCGAATTTTTTTTGCCTTATGGCGTTTATTCCCTGCTAAAACAAGTGTAATAGCTCACTGTTGGTTTGGTTTTGTAGTCATTGAATGAGAAGTGAGTTTATCCATTCTTGTAGAATATGGTTGCACTGTAAGTACATTCTCGATGTGTCCTTTTATGGGTTTTCTGGGCTTAATTTTTCATGTGTTTGTTATGTGGTAGGCGTTCAGAAGGAGAGAATGCTACCAGAGGACATGTATGTGTTATCTCCAAATGGGTCTATCTTGTCTACTCCATCTCCGAAGCCGTACCCACACAAACCTCCTAAGTGTTCTGATTGTGGTCCACTTTTTATGAAGGTATCAATTCTTTGTGCTTCTTATAAACACTATGCTTACATGGATGGTATAAAGTTAGCCATGACTATTGTCTGATTTTGACAAATCAGTTATCAGTCAGAATATTTAAAAACTCTGAAATGGCTAATCTGCTCCACTCTGCAAATTTATTATTTGGGCCCATATCTGATTATATGGTTAGGACAATAATAAAAGATTCTGGGATTCTTTTGGGTATATGTGCTGTAGTAAGTTGGGTATTGGGCAAACTCATAACTTTTTAGTGGCCATAGCATTTTATTCCCATATTCAGTTGTCTTATCTATAGTTGCTAAGCACAAGAAGATAATAGATTAAAATTTTAAATCTTAAATTTGTGGGAAGCTAAAGCTGCTAAACTAGGTGGAGGTTGTAGTTCCAAATATTGAACATAGTCAAGGAAATTCGATAATGAACCAAAAAAGAAAGAGCTTCTATGCGTTATCTTTTCCTACATTCCATTAGCAACCAAAATAATCACTCATGAAGACTTTGATTGCTTATGACTATTGGATCCCTATCAGAATATAGCCAAGAGGCGATTGATTTCGCGGAGAAAAATGTCAAGGAATCTCAATTACAAGGTACAATGCAGAGTGATTTGGAACTTACATGATTTTGGATGTAAACGGTCATGAAGACTCATCTGGATCATGTGAATTGGGATAGCAGTCCCTTTGCCCACACTATTTATTTCACTATTACTACATATAAAACTGTGTTCATTGGGTTATCTTGGTTCCAGTGTTCCATGTTGGATGCTAGTGCTCTTTTTTCTAAGTAATAAGTTTTCTTTTCGTTTGTTAGTTTTGGAGACATGTTGAAACTAATGTTGAGGAACTACTATTTCCTATATCTTTCAGGCCATTTTGCTTCTTGAAGGCAATTCAACAGCTTCAAACATACAATTTTACTAAAACATTGTTTAACCTTGTAATGCCAGCCACTGATCCTGTTTCTCTGTGTTTTTTCATTCCATGTTATGACATATCCTATTTGTGGATGTTGGGGTTCATGAATACTCACCATTTGGTAAGGCTGACCTCTCTTTTGAGAAGTTATGGTTGACATATATTCCCTTGTTTTCCAGGCATATGAGATGCGTAATGCTGGGGCTGTTATTCATAGTCATGGGATAGAATCTTGTCTTGTAACAATGATCAATCCATTAGCAAAAGAATTCCGAGTAAGTTTTTATTCCTGGTATCCATTAGTGAGGATATTAAGTGCTAATAAATACACAAAAACAAAGGGACCTCGTGTTTTTATTCATTGCTGTCTATATCTTTTTTTTCCCCTTTTTTATGTTCACCTCCCTTTGCGTGAAAAGTTGGATTTGTCTTCATTGTATTGACTCCCTCTTTCAAGATCTTTTGAAAATTAATGAACTTTCTAGCCTCTAATAGAGGTATGTAGAATGAAACTTTGTAGTAATACGATAGGAAATGCAGCCAACAGAATATAGAAAGAAAATTGATATATTAGCTGTGAGCTAAGATTTGTCTGATGCAACTGTTTCTGCATCTGTTAGCGTAAGGTTTGCATGTGATCTTATTGCTTTCAAACAATTGAAGGAGTTTCTAGATGATGGAATTTCAGCTGCTTATTTCCCACAGACAAAAGTACAATAGGCTTTCCCTTAGTATATTACGTTAATAATATTATTTGGTTTCTTTCTTATCTCAGAAATGATCTCTAAGATCAGAAGTCTTTGAAACAGTATGCTTTTCCTGAAATACTTTGATATCTTTGTGTATAGAGTAGAATGAGGATTAAAACAGAGTACGGGCTCCAGAAATTTGGGTAGTTCAAGCGTAATTCTAGCTTGAAAATGAAACCGGAGTCAATGTGAGGAGTGGAAACTAGGAATGTCACATAAATTTCTAGTTATATTACAAAATAGAACATCAAGGAGGAGACAATATCAAATTAATAGTAAAATGTTGCATTCATGAATTGTAATATTAGTTAGAAACTTAGGAGAACATGTGCAGAATAATGGCAGTGAAAATCTAAAAGGTATCATGATTTTAGAATGCCAAGTGATAACTCAGTTAATGTGTTGCGATGGACTGTTTACTTGCTCTCAAAAGCCAATACGTATATATACATTTTTTTTCTTCTTTCATTGTGGTGAGTCTAGCACTTCCTCTGTGTAATTATTCCTGCCTACTGTTACTGGTTGTCTCTTTTAATAGTTTGCTTTCTTTTTTTGTGGTATACAAATGTGCAGATTACTCATATGGAGATGATCAAAGGAATCCAAGGGCATGGTTATTATGATGAACTTGTGGTCCCAATAATAGAGAACACTGCCTATGAATATGAGCTGACAGAGTCTCTTGCCAAAGCTGTATGTTCAAGTTTTAAACTTATTTTGGTGTAGTGATCCTATCAACTTTTGATGACGTAAACTAATATTATGATGGACTTCATCCCAGTGACATATGGTTGCTTGAGTTCATACATGGCACAATTATGTACTTAATCCAGTTGCACTTCATTTTATTAGTTTTGCTTGATTGCTATGTCAATATTAAACTTAGGATTTACTATGTGGATGAGTATTTGCTTTCTTTCATGTTCTATAGATTGAAGCCTACCCAAAAACAACAGCTGTGCTTGTTCGTAATCATGGCATCTATATATGGGGAGACTCATGGATCAGCGCTAAAACTCAGGTGCGTATCTTAGGGAATAATTGTTGATTTTGCAGTATGTGATGCCTACAACTGCTAGTTAGGCAACCAGTGTAAATATTAAAGGTAAAAGAATCACTTGTGCATAAGGGGTTGGGCATTTTGTGTGCTATATCATACTTGTGTATGCATGCTGGTTACTGAAAGTTGCAAGTTTATGTTTCTGTTCATATGAGTGGTGTTATAAAGTCGCAACAAGCAGCAGTTTTATGAATCTCAATTGCATCTTAAGCTTGGTGATAAAACTAAAGCTACAACAGGCAGTGTCCTCTTCAAGCATGGATAGATTTTACCAAAAAGGGAGAATGGGAATAAAGAAAAGGAAAAATTGCAAATATGTAGCGTACTAAGCTTTCTAGTTTCTACCTATATATATTGATGTCTAAAGTATTGATCTAAAACTATGGAGCCTCTTATTCTCTTAGTGGCTTAAAGGTTCATTTTAATGCTTTCTACTCAATTCTGATATATATATATATATATATATATATATATATATTTCTTTGTTTCTTTGTTTCAGGCTGAATGCTATCACTATCTCTTTGATGCTGCTATCAAACTTAACCAGTTGGGTTTGGACCCGTCTACTCCAATCCATGGTCCTATACAAAATGTCAAAGGAGTTTTAGGAAGTGGTATTCACAGAAACATATCTGTGAATGCTGGGACTGCAGCTTCAGATAATAAATCTGACCAGTCACAAGTGAGTTTAATTGTTTATTTCTCTGGGTTCTTGTCTAATTTCGTTGTCGTTTAGTTTACTTAGAAACCTCACCTTTTCTGCTTCTTTATATATTTTTGTGTTTGAATGCAGATATTGCCTTTTGGTTGAGAATTTTGATAATTAGCATTTTCACGATTTCTCATATAAAACTAATGTCTTTTTCCTGTTCTTTATGTATTTTGTGTTTTTCTGTAGCGTTGCATTGTTCTTGACATTGAGGGAACTACTACTCCCATATCGTTTGTGACTGATGTTCTCTTTCCATACGCCCGCAATAATGTTGGGAGGCATTTGTCTGCAACATATGACACCACAGAAACTCAAGATGACATAAAGTTGTTGCGCTTCCAGGTAAGATTTTTGTTCTGGAGTGATGTTTTGTTGACCGTACACCTGTATATAACCACATTAGTTTGCAGCTGTTAATTCTGGGTCAGTAGTGCACCACATGGTGTGTGAATACACTAGGATGCTGCCACAGTAGGTCATTGAAAATTTCATGGTAATAGCATTGCTTTAGAATTAAAGTAGTCCCTTTGAGTTTGACTTGTGCTATGAATACAATTACTTTTTTCTATAAGAATGCAAATATAATTAATTTTGAAGTGAGAAAACCAAAGTTTTATCTTTCAATCCCTGCTAGAAGTTAAAACTGGAAATCTTTGACTACTCTGGACTCAGGCTAGCAATTTAATGTTTTATTTAAAAAGTTAAATTTGTCATGCACATATCAAATTCACAGAAGTAAGCTCGACACTTTGAACTGATAATTGAAAGTTTTACCTCTTTATTATAGGTTCAAGATGACCTGGAAAAAGGTGTTGTTGGTTCTGTTCCCATCCCCTTGGAAGATCACTGCCTTGAAACAGTTGCAAGTAAGCAATTTTTTGTACTTATAAGGAATTTTCTTGCTATGTTGCGTATCATTTGGGATATAACTGACTTTCGGCTATGCAGGGACACATCTGGAGAACTGGATATGAAAAGAAGGAATTAGAGGGAGTAGTTTTTGAGGATGTACCAGAAGCTCTTAAGAAATGGCATGATTCTGGCATAAAGGTAATGATCCTATTTTCATTTTTCTTCGCATATAAATTGCAATCTCTGAGGATGGTAAAGTTTTAGTTCATGGGCCAAGAATGTTTCCAGTTTCTTTGGTACATATGCTAACTAGACAAATTAGATTAGATTGAATTCCTTGATGAAGTTGATGTTTCATTTCTTGAAGACATACCTTAATTGTTGAGATTTTGTGCGGCAGGTGTACATATACTCTAGTGGTAGCAGGTTGGCACAGAGACTTATATTTGGCAACTCAAACTATGGGGACCTAAGAGAATATTTGTCTGGATTTTTCGACACCACAGTGGGGTACATTTAAAACTCAGAATCTTTTTCTTCTTTTAAAAATATTTTTACTTAACATGAATGTATATCTACTTCCAGCTTCCTAATTCATTTCAACCTAGCTAACATTTCTCTCTCTCTCTCTCTCTCTCTCTCTCTCTCTCTCTCAGGAACAAAAGGGAAAGTAGCAGTTATGCTGAAATTGTACAATCAGTTGGAGTTGATAAGCCATCACAGGTTTTATTTGTGACAGATGTCTTTCAAGAAGCTGTTGCTGCAAAGGAAGCAGGTAATGAGTTACCTGTTTTACCCCACCCCTCTATAGAAAATGTTAAATGTAATCAGGTGTAAAGGCTAATTGTTAGACAATGGTGTATAAACCTGTAGGATTTTCTCCCTTTGTGTATTGGCAATCCACACTAGGAACCTCTCCCCTACCACAGATTGGGCTAGGACCTTCCCTACCACCAGTTTCTGTTATTATTAGTGTCTGGGAAATCAGTAGGTGCTCGCAAGAGTCCTTAGAATGGGGATATGAGTATGCTTGCAAAGGGCATGGCATCATACACTATCATGCTAAAAGGTCTAGCAATGGCACTGTTTCAACATTACAATCCTTGGGTACTTTAGAAGGATAAATAAATAATTTATTGTTCTGAAGATATGAGAACCACCAGAAGATCAATATAATCGAAATATCTTAATGCCCTTTATTTTGTCATGGAGACCTTTGACAGAAGATTGATAACCATAGTAGCTACACAGTTTTCTATCCTTGCTAGTTCAATAATGCTCCAACATAACAAAAACTGAAAACGAGAAGGAAAGATAAACGCTTGTTATTCAGTTTTTTGTGTTGAGATTGATGCTAAGATACTTTTTTGGTGTTTCAGGATTGGAAGTTATTGTATCTATCCGACCAGGGAATGGACCTCTTCCAGAAAATCATGGGTTCAAGACAATCAATTCTTTCTCGGAAATCTGAATGCGTGCTTTGTAATCATATAGCATGAAATATATATTGCCATGAATAAATACATGAATAAAATATACAACTTTTCCAGGTTGTCAAAAAGGTCTTATATAGGGCCTTTGACTTGTAGACAAGAGGTCTCAGGTTCGAACCCCCTGACATCTTAGTTGTGTTTGTATGAGAAATTCATCTCTCCATTAGTTTAGACTATCGCTTGTACTATAAAAAATAATAAAAAAATAAAAAAAATGCATAACCGTGTTTCTTGGATTTTTATTTTGTTTTGTTTTCAGTTTAAATTGCTTGGTAAAAGCCGCTACTTTTGTAGCTGTGTAAGCAGTTAGTCGTATCATATGTAGCTCTAGTTGGGAAAAGACTACTTCTGTGGGTGTCTAAGCAGTTGACCACTCTAATAAAAGCACATAAATCCTTAACTAGGTTTATAATCTGGCATGCACATTTACAGCTACCAACATGGTCCTATAATGAAAGAATTTTATTGGAGTTGCCCCCAACATGGTCCCAAAAATTTAGGACAGAATCTCACTTTCACCAGTGTCATGGATTTTATGTGTTTTTACTTTTTTTTTAAATAATTTGATTTCCTCCTCTTGAGGCTTGTCATGTCTCCAAATCCCATTACCCACCTAAGTTTTTTTTATTAAAAAAATATATATTTTGGGGGTAAAACACACCCCCTGAAATATTAAGAAATGCATAAATTTCCTTGATGAATATCAAGATTTCCAATTTGTAATAAAAATCCAAGACTGGTTGAACATCCCAATAAAAGCAACAAGCCTTGTCAAGCTAAAACTGGCACAAAAAAAGACAATCTAGTTTGCATCAAACTGCAAAAAGATCTTGGCGGTTTTTCAGTTCAACGTACCCTATGTCCAGACCAGACCAGACCAGACCAGATACACAATGACAGAATGAGTGTTCAAATAGGAAAGAAAAAGTCTTCACATTTTCTCTGCAGCTTTCTTAATTCAATTGTACTCTATTTTCTCCTTTCCTTCTCACTGTCATAACAACAGCCCCACCTTTTGTTTCTTCTTTTTCTTTCTTGCGTCCACACATTGAGAAAGTTGTTGCTCTCCAAGTCAAAAGAGTCTACATCACAATAAAACTCAAATGAAGAAAAAAAGAGGAGGAATGTTTGGATGAGTTCCTTCTGGTCCGCAAGTCTTTATATCTCAGCACAAGGTAAGCTAGTACATATATGGAAAACCCTAACTATAAAAAAGTGCAATACTTTTCTTTTCATCTAGATTGACACTTTGACATGAAAGTTGAGCTCTTCATATCTAAAGTACTACCATGGAACCGTCACATTTTTAAGTAACAAGAAAAACCCCTCATTCTCATTTTCGTATGATGTTTTGAGATAAACTCTAAATACGTGTAATAATTATGGAACGTATTTTGTAGACCGAGTGTTGCCTATTAGCATGATTGATTAATGAAATGTGTACTTAATGGCTGCTATGTATTTTTTTTAACACAAAGGCGATAGTATTTCTATTAATGATGAGGGATGAAACAAGCACAAAATTAGGCTATGTCTTAAAGGATTAGACGAGTATCTTTACACTAAATGAGCTTTATTGGTCATCAACTAACCATGTAGCCTACCCTCTCAACCACAAACAAGAGAAGGAACCTAGCCTCCGATAGAGCACTCCGGTCCCCCTAGGATCACACTCGTAAAAATTCCCTATTACAATCTTGAAACAAAACATCTGAAATAAAATCAAAAGTCGGATATATTTGGCTTTTATTGTGTTGATCCATAAATGACATGGTAAATCCGTATAAGTCGTGCAAGCAATAGCAAGTTTCTCTGGGGAAAAAAAAAAAGGATTTCTCTTTCTTTTATCTTGGTCATTGAATACATCGACGGGTAGATATCATCCCATACCCCATAACCTAAGAATTCCCCAACTGAAATTCTGAAACTTTACACAGCTGGAACTGGGATAGGATTCTGAAAATCTTAGGTCGAAAAAGACTCATATTAAAAGGGCAGTGATCCAAAAAATAAAAATAAAATTTGCATCTGACAATTTTTGTACTTTTTCTGTCAACATAACCAATAATATAGGGGTTCATAAATCATGCTTCCCTCTCCCCAAAAATCTCTCCTGGTAAGGGGAAAAAAATCAATAATAAGACCAAAGTACCCATGGTCCTTGGTCTACATAAGAAGAGAAAGTGACTTATTGCCAATATTGCTATTTTATCAATAAAACAAAATAAAATGACATCATTTGAATATCAGATCAATGGCAATTCCACCAGAACATCATATATTCGTACTACATTGCATTAGCTCAACAATTTGCAACAGCTGACAGAAGAAGACCATATGATATTATGAGTCGGTGGAAGTTTCATATACTGCCTTGGTGAATGGGAAATGTGGTCCTCCCTCTCTCCCTCCTCTATGGGACGAAACATTTACATGAAACTGGGACACGGTGCCGCGCGTGATATCTTTTTCGTGGTAGTCTGTGATTGGTCGGGATGACAAAACAGTGTTATTCCCGTTTCATACAAGTTTTTCTGCTCAACGGGGGACCCTAAGTAAGAACCCTTCAACAAATTGAGTCCCACTCTCAAATATACTCAAACTCAATTAAATTCTTAATCAATCTGGTAATTATCAGTAAACACTTCATAACACACCCTCATCTTTTGAAAAGTCCTCTCTCACCACACCCACACACACACACATTCATAACATTAAAACAAAAACTTAAAAGGAAAAAGAAAATGCATTTCTCTCGGAGGAAATGTCAAACTGATATGCAAGTTGGTAAAATGATAATCATATTCCCATTCATATGTGCACCCAGATTCCATGGAAAATTGATTTTCAAACTTCCATTGGTGCTATAGAAAATAACTAATAAAAAAAAGAAAAGAAAAATAGCCATAAAAATGCAAAATAAAAAAGAAGAAGAAGGAGGAGGTTAAACAAAGCTGCTGCCTTTTACCATTTTATGGAAGAGATATCAAATTGTACAATTAAAACAAAGATCTGTACCTGTCATTGAAAATCATCCAAAACCCATTAATCTTCTGATGATCCTTGTAATCAAACTCACTCACAGTAATAATACTACACATCTCTCTCTCTCTCTTCCTCATGATCAAGAAGAAGACCCAGAAACTCTGGGCGAAGTGACTGGAAACAAAGGCAAAAGCCTGGGCTCAGGGTCTCTGGGAGTTGTCGTCGTTCTAGGAGATGGGTGCAAGTAAAACCCCTTCTCTGCAATTGCTCTATCTTCCTCCGATGAAGAATTCCCCAAAGAAGGCGACGAAGAGGACTTGTCAAACGGGTCGTCGTTTAACGGGGTCACTGGGCTGAGAGTGAGGGAAGGGAAGTCAAGCAAGCTCGGGGACAGGATCTCCTGATGACGTGGCGAGAACCCAGATGCTTGATGGGGAAAATTGGGCATCAAGGTGTTGATCATGAGGGTGTTTTTGAGATTAGTGCTCCTCCTCTCATAGAGCTTGAAGCCTTGCTTTTTGGGAGGGGCTGTTTTGATTGGTGGGATGTTGAAGCTTTTGTTGGAGGAGGGCAAAACGGTTGGATCTTGATGGCTGTGAGGATGATGGTGATGATGGGTTGTGGTTGGTTTGGGGGAAGATTGGTGGCTTACAGTTTCAGAGGAGCCTGTGAGCATTTGGACAACATGTTTGAAGTTTGTGGTGTCTGCTTGGACAAAGGTTGTTGGGTAGGGATTGGGGTCAGATCTGGGAGTTGTGAGCTTTGGGGTTGTGGGGATTTGAACCCCTGAGCTATTGTTGTTGTTGTTGGTGGTGGTGGTGTTGCTGCTGCAGACACTGTTGTTTGTGTTTGTCTTTGTGTTTGTGTTGGTGCCATTGCTTCTGGGGGAGTTTATGGGAGAATATGAATATGGTTGCTTCTCTCTGATTTCTTGAGGCCTTGAGGTGAATTCCATTGGTGGGTTTTTTGTCACCTCTCACCACCACCTCCACAACCACTCTGCCTCTGAAAGAAACAGAGAGAGAGAGAGAGAGAGAGAGAGAGAGAGAGCTTGCTTTATGATGGGTTTTTGCTTTGCAACTTGGAGAGTTGGAATTTGGATGGAAGAGTGAAAAACAAGGCTTTTGGTTTTGGCCTTGAAATGAGAAAAGAAAAGAAAAATAGGGTTGTTGCTTATTAGCAATGTTTTGTTATCTTGTGGTTGTGCCTCTTCTCTCTCTCTCTCTCTCTCTCTCTCTCTCTCTCTCTCTAGTTGGACTAAAGATGTTTTCCTCTCTCTGCAGTTTTGGGGGACTGACTGACTCTTGAGTTTTTTATTTTCCTCCAGTATAGCTAGTTGTTTTCCCTAACTATATACCTTGGTCCCTCCAAGCTTTGTTGAAATTGTTTTCTTCCCTTTTTTCTTTTTCTTTTTCTTTTTTGTTTTTGTTTTTGTTGTGCTGGGGATAGTGGCGTTGGATTGGAATGGAGGGAGTTGATTGGGCAGAGAGAAAAATGGCCCAACTGTTTTTGGGATTTATAAAGGAGGTGGAAAAGGTGATTGGTTGAAATGGGAATTTGAGGGAGGGCATGAGCATGTGTGTGCCACCAATGGCAAAACCTTTATCATCAAAGACATCTATGTATGTCTCTGAATTTTGTGATGAGATTTTATTTTAATGAGAGAGAGAGAGAGAGGCATTGACTTCAGAGCCCTGTCCTGGCTGACTGCAGAGAGAGACTCTTGTGTTGTGTTTTGTGTCTTGTTGTGTGTGTGTGTGCTCAATGACAATGTGATGGGATTGGAGATGATAGAAACATTTTGATCTCACCCATACATATTACATTACATTCATTGCTTCATCACGCTCCCATAAAACGTTTGTTTTACACTCTCCTCCTACAATCAAACCCAAATTCCAGGATACCAAGAAAAAGTCTCATCATCAACTTCAAACTCTTTGGATTGACATAAAATAAATAAAAGCTTTTACATATAAACCCAAACAAATAAACAAATACACTTTCGTTGTTATCGTTTATCATTTTTCCCTCTAAAACGTACATAAATTTGGAGATAAATAAGAGTAAAATATTTTAAAGAATTGGATTTAGGGAAATTACATCTTCTAATGATAAGGCATTTAACAAATAATTTTCTTATTTAACAATTTGTCATTACACATACGGAGATCAACGAGGAAGAAGAAATTCGAATTCGAGATATCTTTAATTTTAATGAAAGAAACATCATCGGGCTTGAAAAAATAAAACTAGGGTTCTTTTTCTTTCTTTCTTTATTTTCGTTTGTTTGTTTGGGTTTTCACTCTATTTCCGTGTAAAAGGCACAACTTTAAGACTACATGCTCGCAACATTTTTAATTACCTCGGCATCTCATTTGTGATGTTGAAAGTAAGATTCCAAGTTTCCAACATATAAAAATATCCATAGATTATCTAGTTAATTAATCTTGTAGTATGCCATTAACCCAAAGGTTATGAGTATTTTATGTAACTCTTGGTACATGAATCAGTTCGTTTCCACGATAAAGAGTAATGGTTATATTCTAATTTTCTTTATCCAATCCAATTCCTAGTATGTTGTCCCCTACCCACATTAGCTTGTGGTTCTTATTTAGTTTTCACTTAAAATATAGCAAAGAAATAAAAGGAAAAAGAATCAAATTCTTCTTACCGGGGTCGGGAGGGAAGAGCAACAAAAGTAGAGGGACCGGAAGTCCATTATATACAAATATTCAGCTCCCAAAAAGAAAATAATAATAATAATATTCATAATTACAATCATTGTTGTTTTGTTTGGAATGTGGACTAGTAGTCTTTCCTTTTTGAAATTAATCTAACCGTTTAAACATTCAACTTATTAGCTTAACTTGTACGATTTTTTTTCTTAAGTATATACTAATTAATAAATAATTCAAAGAGTAGGACATGGGAAGGTTCAAGGTTGTACGTGTCCGAAATTAGATATTCTATAATAAGAGACAAATACATTGAATAGGTACCAACAAAAATTTAATTAGAGTAAGTAAATTATGGGTTTTAGAATTTTTCCTTTTGTATTTTTTGAATGAAAAAGGCATAAAAAATTTCCTTTATTTTTCTTTTTTTGAGTACAGGCGATAATCTAAACTACAAGGGGGTTTCTCACACAGCACTATGAGTCTATAACGTTATGAGGGTTCAAACATGAGACTATTAGTTCGCAAGTTAATGCATTTTTTACTGGGCTAGAAACTCAATTAACTTGAAAGTTTAGGCACAATTTTATTTATTTATTGATAAATAAAGAAAATTGGAAGGTTCTTGGTGGCAAAATGATGGAGTTAATTGTCAAGTAGGTCATGAAGGGATGGTTGCCAATGAGCAAATACCAGCGATGTGGATTGAGTGACCTTTCGCTGCATAACAGGCACTCAAGTTATTATTGCATGACCATGGATTTCTTTTTCTTTTTCTTCTTCTTCTTCTTCCCTTTTTTTTTTTCAATGGCTTCATTTCATAGACTTTGTACATCCCAATGTCAACAGGCTCATCAATGCAAAAGGGAATCTAAGGAAGAAAAGACAAAATAAAGAAGTTCAAGTTGAAAATAGAAGGGAGATGGACCCCCTCATTATATGGGAGGAAGGGTACATGAACCCTATTCATTGAGATCAGGAGAGGATTTATCCTAAATCAAGAGAAGGATTAGAAGAATACTGAATTCATTAAAGAAAAAAGACTTGAAGACTAGTAAAGATTTTTTTGTTTATTTTGCATCAAACAATGATATTCATTAAAATAAAAATAAAAAAATTCAGCAATACATCAAAGACATGTACAAGACATGAATCTCAACACGATTGCAAAAGTTCCAACCCGAAACGAAAAAGACATAAAGACCACTAACGATTATCCTCTATAATTAGGTATACACATAAAATCATTTTTTTTTTCACAAGTACCTAATTTTACTTTGGTATACAAGTTAACAGTAGTTATGAGCTTGCATTTTATTATCTAAGTTTTGTTTTTTTGTCAATTCTTCACAGACGTGCAAACAATTCTCAACCAGCGATTAAGACGTAATAAGTCCACTATTAAACTCGCATTAATCGATGACTAATAGCGCATTTGGATGACTAATAATCCTAACATTTGGTTTACTGTCTTGACCATACTTAACCTACATATTCTAATTCACTATAAAAGTTCAACAAGTAGAGCTGTAAAGACTAAAGTAATGTGTTCAAGTGCTAATTAAGAAAGGAAACACAAAAGATTAGTTTTCTAGTGGTCCTCCTCCCCACATTTTCACAGCAATAATTTTTCCATGATGTGGATTATGTGCTTAATTTACATTGGGGGAAACCCTAATATCACTATTCTAACTGCAAAGCATATAGGTTTAGGAAAACTTTACACAATAATTAATTCTTAATACATGCTTAGGTCGGCCGGCTTGACCAAGTGCATAAACTATGTGAATATTAGGTGGCATTTTTTGGTACTTCTTATGCTGTGAAAGGTGACAACTTTTTATTTTTTATTATTTTATTTATTTTGTGGAGGAATCATGTAGGCTTGATTTTGCTGACTTTGTAGGGTCCGCCAACCCAACCTTGGCACTCTTGTTACCTCTCACCGTCACAGCCGGTCTATATTAATGTTAGGCACATGTTTTTTTATTTACAATCCGCCCACTATTTTAATCCCAAATTTATTTTTTAAAACCCTAAAAAACAATTTCAACTTTGCATGAGAGATGAGCCTGTGGGGATCTTGTGAGATGAGAGTGCATGAGACTGAGTTTAGACTGAGAATTTGTCGACATTGGATTGGTTCGAATTGGAGACGGTCAAAGGGAATTAAATATTAGGTTGTTCTTGTATCATGCTTGATATTATTTATTTAAGCTTTTTTGTTTTATTTTTTTCCCCCAAATTTTGACCTTAGCCTGTTGTTTTGCGGAAAATCTTGTTTTTCTACACTTTAATATGAAAATGATGCTTAAGAAATTATTGATCAACCCATCTACCCAGCAATCATCAACTCGAATATTTATGTATTATGTCTTCTCTTTGCACCGATATTATCTTCCTCAGAAAACGTAGTTTATTGGATGATCATTTATACAATATATGACAATTGTATTTGAGATTTCTTCTTGAAAAAATAAGCCAAAATTACATAACAAACTTTCTCGTATTTTAACATCTTTTTTGAAAATAAAAAATAAAAAATTCAGGGTCCTTAAAATGATAAATTAATCTAGAATATTAACCTTAGATTATTAAGTGCCTGTTTGGCATTACTTATTTGGGGTGATATGTGATTTTTTAAAAAATTTGGGAAGCCTAGTCCGTTTGGTAAACTATGAGAAAATCACTTATTGTTAAAAATTGTTGTGAGAGAAAGCTATAAGGGAAAGTAGCTAATGAGGTGCTTTCATTTTCTGTTTATACGAGAATCAATTTCGAAGAGACGCTAAGTTTAATAATTATGAGGGAATCATTTTCTAATTATGCGAAAATTAGTACCAACAACACTTTTAACACAAGTTTACCAAGCGCCAAACTGCTTTCTCTCACAGCTGATTACTCTCACAGCAAATTTGATAGCGATTATTTTCACAGCACAACAATACCAAACTGGCCTTAAATAATCCATATCTAACTAGTTTCAAGAAACAACCAAAGTATCATATTCTTTTTTATATAAAATATATATATTTTATTAATATTTCCCACTGTAATTAGCCATTACGACCAAGTGGTACACCTTTTTTTTTTCTTTTTTTCTTTTTCTCTCCAATAACATGAATAAAAGGATTTAATGTAGGATTGGCCAAAAGGGTTTTGTGATAAGGCAAAGCCACCTCCTATTATAGTCTAATAATTGCTTGGAAAAAAGAGAGTAAATAAATAGAATGAAATTTTAATTTCTGATGTTATTATTTATTTTTTGAAGCACCAATATTAATATTATTATGAATATTATACTTGTCATTCCTTTTCATATAATCGAGCGCAAAAGTTCCTTTGATATGTCGCAAAGATAGGTGAGGCAAGTCAACATGTCGACTATAATAGAGATTATAGTAGTACAAATTAAGCAACACCCAAACAAACTTCTTTCGGCTGGTTGCCTACTTGTTTGAAGTAATTACCAACATGACTAGTAAAAAGTAACTTTTATTCATATATATATATATATATATGTATATAGCTATATGAAGTGGACGTCCTTTGGATGCTAAATATAAGTAATTATATTACAATTAATGGATTAATGTCGCTTGTTTGGGCATTTGGTTCGATACATTCAAGTAAAGTTTAATGTGTTCGATTATTTTAATTGTAATTTAACAACATATCATAACAGATAATGCGATAAGATAATATTATCACTGTGTTCTTTTTGACGTACGTAAAAGGACCAAAGATCTGTGAGTAGGAGTTTGAAAAAGAAAGCCATAGCATAGCATAATCAAGTTGGTTGATTATAAAGGTTGGATGGATACAAACAAGTTAGGCCGCAATGAAGAAACTAGAGAGGAGAATGAAGGG